ATGTGAGGCAGCGTGGTGGAATCAGGCTCTCGTCAATTTTTGAGCATGTAGAGTTATTCGTATCATCGTAAAGCTTGTTCACTTGTGTTTATTTGAAGGAAAAAATATCCATTTATCTTGAATACAAGTTGAAATATTTGCGAATGAAGGAGGTGGGGGTCACCTGTTTTCAGAGGTAAAATTGGTGAGAAAATGACTGCCAAAGATTAGTTATTTCCTTAGCTTAAGAGTCCGTGGTAATTGAAAAATTTATATTTCTTGTGCCTTTAATCAACGTTTTTAAGAAAAATCCTCACAGACATGATGAGTTCTTTAATGGGCATGAAAGGTGCTAAGCCAAAAAACAAAGATTTGACAAAAATTCACTAACATGCGGAAAAATGCCAGCTTCTTCACTTTGATTATTTTGACGAGAGCCTGATTCCACCACGTTGCCTCACATATATCAAGGACCATCATACTGTGTACGCGATATTTTGGGTCGCTGTTGTAAATCCCTCACTCGTTAGTTGCCAAGGTAATTTATTGCAGCACTGGGCAAATTGTTTGTTTTGTTTTTCTTATTCGAGAGGGATACAACGTCACAACAGATAGTAGATAGATCTAGTTAGAGATATTCATTGAAAAAAAGAACTTCCCCCTCAAGCGAGTCAAATTCATGTTCCCTGCATGCGACAGCAAAGCTTCTTATTAATATATGTGAGGCAGCGTGATGGAATCAGGCTCTCGTCAATTTTTGGGGGTGAAGGGTTATTGGTATCATCTTAAAGCTTGTTCACTTGTCTTTATTTGAATGAAGAAAATATCCATTTATCTTGAGTACAAGTCGAGATATTTGCGAATGAAGGAGGTGGGGGTCACCTGTTTTCAGAGGTAAAATAAAGGAGAGAATGGCCGCCAAAGATTAGCTTAAGAGTCCGTGTTAACTGAAAATTTTTATTTTTTGTGCCTTTAATCAACATTTTTCAAAAAATCCACACAGAAATGAGTTCTTTAATGGGCATGAAAGGTGTTGAGCCAAAAATAATTTTTTAAAATAAAAATTCACAAACCTGCGGGAAAATGCAAGTTTCTTCACTTTGATTATTTTGACGAGAGCCTGATTCCACCACGCTGCCTCACATATTATTCCCCAGACGCTAATATTTTGGGTGTCACTTTTCTCTTTGTGTTCACCGAAATATCGCTACCCTAGAATGACACAGTCCTATCTGCTCAGTACCTAGTCTTGAGAAATTATGTGAAGTGAAAAAATTTGAGTTTCACAATTCAAGCTTTTTTGAATGCAGTTCTTTGAACATCTTGAAAACAGACTCCGAATAAGCTTACAATTTTGATTGAGCAGATAGATCATTCGGTTTCTGAC